CCACCACCACCACCACCACCACCACCACCACCACCACCACCACCACCACGTGTATATTATATATTTATATTATATATTATATATATAATTATATATTTACATATATTATATATATAATTATATAATTATATATTTACATATATAATTATATATTTAATTATATATTATGTATAATATATTACTAACTAAAATGTATAAAATCCACAATTAATAATTAAAACAACTAAGTAATATTGAAAATATTAATTTTTGTAAAAGGAAATAATGTTAAATAATAACATTTTTTCTAAAAATCTGAATATTAAATAGTAAATAATGAACTAATGTCTTATTTCAAAAATAAACAATGACTCACCAAGTAGCAACTCATTAGTACCAAGTAGCAACTCATTAGTCATTATGAGAAATCGAGAAGCTACTGACTTGGTTTTTATGAGTGCAAAAGTTGAGTGCTCCATCAAATAGACTAATTTTTAGATATTGAAAATTTGAAACTATGAGACGAGAAATTGAGAAGAGAGCTGAACGCCTGAACCTGGGAAGTCGTCTGCTTCAGCGAGGGACAAGGCAGAGAGGGCGATCTGCGAGACCTCTTCTTCCTGGAGTTCTGGGAAGTCGTCTGCTTCAATGCTTCGTACTTCGTAAGTTTATTAATTAAGGAATAACGAGTAGATTATTTTGGGGCTTTGGAGCCTGGACTTTATAGTGAATTAGTTTCCAAAAATTAGTTTCTTAAAATCTCTTTTATTTCACATTTGGGATTCTGGGCCTCTGGGGATCTGGGCTTGCGATCGACTTGGGAAAAAGGCGTCGACTTGTCGCCTTCATCGCGCCTGGACGACGCTTGGCGCGCCTTTTCTTCTTCCGGCGAGTAACTCCGGCGACCTGTCCCCAGCGCCAAGACGCCTAGTCGGCGACGACTAGGCGACGCCGTGACAAGTATGATTAGGATAGAATCTCATAAAGTACCATGGACACCATACAAGTTTAAAACAAACTAAAAATTAATTAAGTTAGAACTCGTTTACAAAAACAATAGTGAAATAAAGAAATAAAAATTAAAGTAACTTTAAATAAAGGGTACATGTCTAATTTTAGAACTTATACAATTAAACATGTCTCTACTCTGAGGTTGCTCCCTGAGTCTTCTAATTGTGTCTAAGTTCTGACCTTCACATCACTAGCGAGCAGCAGTGCTATAGAAAAATAGTAAGATGGAAAACATATTATAATCTTGCAAGATTAGAAGGATATAAAAACATAAACAGATTACATAGAAAAACTTACTTCAAGTTATACGCTCTGCCAGTCCACCTGCTTTGACCTCACCACGATACTTGCAGACCCATGTATTGAGTGTCTTTCCCTTCACTTGATTTGACCTTGTTTTTTATACTAGTATATGTGTTTTATGCGTGCATAAGAGATTCACTTCCCCCCTATAAAAAACCATATATAATAACAAGGTCAACTAAATATTTCTTGACAATTTTTTTATTATAAAAATAATACTCCCTCCGTCCCTTAAAACTTTGCCATCTTTCCTTTTTGGGACGTCCCAAAAAACTTTGACACTTTCCCTTTTAATAAATTATTTTGTGGTTTCTGTTATTTCTCTCTCCTCTGCACAAACCTTAACCACACAGTTTTTACTTTATTATTCTCCGTGTCGGTCAACTTTGGCAAAGTTTTAAGGGACAGAGGTAGTAGTAATTTTTAAATCTTTTTGAATAACAAAATGACATAGAATCAAATGTCAACATTTTCTCAACATGATTGATAGCAGCTCGGCGCTCCTAAGAAAATTTTCAAGACCTATTTGCTGTGGTTATTCTGAGGCACCAGACCCATATCAAACATCAAAGAAACGGTAGTTCATTGGTGTGGTTCACTAACAAACACATCAAAAATATGAAAATTTTCAGTTTATTTGCTTCGACTCAATAATGTCGGGAGCCTAGGAATACAAATTAGCAACAAATTGGGAAAGGAATAAAGAATAGCTTACAAATGGGAATTCCGGGAAGGGGATAACCAAAGCTACATATGATCATACTACTAAAGTGGATAAAGGAAAGAGCATCGTGATAAATGAGGAGGGTTTTCATGAATCCTTAGATCATCCTACACTGTCAAGAGATGAGGCTAAGAATTCATTAAATATGCACTTTATCACTAAAGCGGAAATTCCAGGACTTACCACAAATACCCTTGATGACATAAGGAACCCTATGGATGACTATAGGCTTCAGATCGCTCATGAGGCTATGGAGTTTGATGCTGACATGGCAGCTAAGGAGTATGCATTAAATTCAGATTTGCCTACAAAACCAGACAATAAACCACCTTGGTTAGAGGATTTAAATAGCATTTTGAATAAAGTGGAAGTCATGTTTCATGCAAAGGGGGTAAGGTTTGATAAAGATGCATGTGGCCATATTATTCAGTATAAATGCAGACATGCAATCAAATGTGAGAACAAAATATGAAAAAACAAACA